ATCTGTTCTCCAAAATACAGCAATAGGTCTCGGGACTGTCACAGGAGTTCTTGCAGTTCTGTTTGTCGCTAGCGTGACATACACAGCCATTCGTCGGAAAAAGGAGTGAGTGGCCTTTGGGTTTCCTGTGGTTGGTGCACATTGTAATCATCCATTTCAATCACTTCCTGCCACAAGGGGTCCAGCACTTTGAGAACCCAGCAACCAGAGCCAGCTTGGGCCCAGGACTCAGAAGAGACCCCAGCTTGGTTTAATAAGCTACTATCACAGTCTCAAAATTCTTAACAAGGACCCTGCATTTTCATGTTGCACTAGACCCCCAAATTATGCACTAGTTGTATTAGTTTTCTAGGGCTGCCATAACAAAGTACCACAAACTGGGTGGCTTAAAACAACAGAAAAGTATTGTTTCATAGATCTGGAGGCTAAAAATACAAAATCAAGGGTTGGGCAGGGCCATGGTCCCTCTGAAACCTGTAGGGGAGGGTCCTTCTGTGCCTCTTCTAGCTTCCGGTGGTTGCCAACAGTCCTTGATGTTCTTCCTCCAATCTCTGCCTCCATTGCCACACTGCACCCTTCTCCCTGTGTCGCTATCTTCTAAGGCAGTGGTTCTCAACATTCCTAATGCCGCGACCCTTTTAATACAGTTCCTCATGTTGTGGTGACCCCCAACCATAAAATTATTTTCGTTGCTACTTCATAACTGTAATTTTGCTACTGTTATGAATCGTAATGTAAATATCTGATATGCAGGATGCATTTTCATTGTTACAAATTGAACATAATTAAAGCATAGTGATTAATCACAAAAACAATATGTAATTATATATGTGTTTTCCGATGGTCTTAGGTGACCCCTGTGAAAGGGTCGTTCAACCCCCAAAGGGGTCACAACCCACAGGTTGAGAACCACTGTTCTAAGGACACCAGTCATGGGATTTAGGGCCCCCTGTAATCCAGTATGACCCTATCTTAATTTAATTATGTCTGCAAAGACCCTATTTCCAAATAAGGTCACATTCCTAAGACTTTTACCATAACCCTGGGGGAGGGGAACAATTCAACCCATAATATTGGTTCTGCCACCCATCAAAGCATTATATGAGCTGGTGCACTGCTCTCTACATCTCAGTAGTTTATCATAGACTGAGCCTTCCGTATTCTTGCACACAACCCTGACCATTTTTCTACTTGGACATAGCATGGGGACCTCCCGAACACTATAAACTACCAAAAAGCAGAACTTTACTTAACCTTAACTCCATTTCACAGCCCACAGTTAACGTAATTTCTATTTAAACTATAAAATTTTCCTGTGAGTTGAAACATGACCTATAAAGGTCTCTATACCCTGAAGCAACATTTTAGAAAGAAATCAATTGGTCCTTTTTTACAGAAACCATTAGCCATAGGAGAGATACAGGAAAAACTGCAATGTACTGATTGAATTGCCATGCCCACAGCATAATTTCTAAAAGGCAACCGTTCCATACAGTTAAAATGCATTAGGTTTTTATTATTGTTACTATTAAAGAAAGCCTCAAATCCAGAAGCTGAATCACTAATTTGGTATGTGCTCATGCACATCCCTCTTGCCACTGGAAGGACCACTGGGATGTCCTAATGCTTCTCTCCATATTGACACCACCTGGAGTTTTTATTTGTGTTACACGGCAGTCCTAATCTTCACTTACGCCTGAACATACCACACCTTTGAGGTCCATAGAACCTTAAACATCCCTTCAGTGCCTTGACCCTTCCAGAGTCAGACCTGAAATGCATGCCTTTGTCCCTCCTGAGAGCCCACATGCAAAGATGAAGGTTTCTTCTGGGTGTAGGTCAATGCTGCGCTGCGGCCCACTCAGGATCCTTCCCCAATCTGCTTCCCATCTCCGGCATTAGGTAAGGTTGGACCAGCCTAGGCTTATTAATATCTTGGTATAACGTCAGACAGTGTTACTATGGCACTAACTATACATGTCCTTTCACTCCTTGGAGCAATGGTTCTCAACCTGTGGGTCGCGACCCCTTTGGGAGTCGAACGACCCTTTCACAGGGGTCACCTAAGACCATCGGAAAACACATATATAATTACATATTGTTTTTGTGATTAGTCACTATGCTTTAATTATGTTCAATTTGTAACAATGAAAATGCATCCTGCATATCAGATATTTACATTACGATTCATAACAGAAGCAAAATTACAGTTATGAAGTAGCAACGAAAATAATTTTATGGTTGGGGGTCACCACAACATAAGGAACTGTATTAAAGGGTCGCGGCATTAGGAAGGTTGAGAACCACTGCCTCAGAGGAAAGATAATTAATAGCTATTATGTGTGTTCATAGAGTAAGCCCTGTGTTTATGAGTTTAACTGACCCATTGCCATTGGTTTTCTGCAGGCAGAGCGCCTATCAAAACAGCGGAAGTGAACCAGTGCACCTGACCGAAATCCCGAGAGTCGCCCTTTAGGACCAAGACTCAAATCATAGTGAAGACTCATTGTTGTGTCGCTAGTGACCCCGTCTCCGGACACTGTGACTAGGAGGATTTTCGCAACATCTCGGGACCCGAACCCAGGAGTTCCATGTGAAGACACAGCAATCGCCACAGCGCACCTTCTTTCTCTACGTCAGCGGTTCTCAACCTGTGGGTCGCGACCCCTTTGGGGAGCGAACGACCCTTTCACAGGGGTCGCCTAAGACCATCGGAAAACACATATATAATTGTATATTGTTTTTGTGATTAATCACTATGCTTTAATTATGTTCAATTTGTAACAATGAAATTGGGGGTCACCGCAACATGAGGAACTGTATTAAAGGGTCGCGGCGTTAGGAAGGTTGAGAACCACTGCTCTAAGTCAACAAGTGTCGGGGGAATGAAAGAGAAACCACTCTTGTGCCAGATCCTGTGCTCTCCTGGTTGTGGAAAAAGCACAACAGATATGAGAGAATAAACGCATTCAGTTAGAATGAATTCTCCTCTCTAGTGCTCAGAGCTGAACAGGGCTCCTGTGTCGCTCATCCGAAGGGGGTGAGGAGATTTAATCTGTCCTCTCGTCTGCCTTCTGCAAATTAGCCCTCGAGATGCTTCTAAGCAGAGTTTTGTGAGAGATTTGTGAAGTCAGCCGTGCAGACTTTGAACACGGTTCAAACTCCAGGGGCAGCGCTGGGACGTGGGGGACTATCTGCCCTGCCTTTCACTCCAGACGCGATCATGTCACACAGAAGTCATTATTGTTTAATCTCCCTCCCTATCCCTACCTCTGTGCCACTCCACGGCACCCAAGAGACCCCTTGCTCTTCTCTCAGACCCTTTTCCCTACACAGTCGCACTCCCTCGCGGCTCCGAGCTCGCCGGCTTGGCATAGAATGCCGTCCTGCTTCTGCCTGCGGGGGCGACGATTGCGTCACTGGCCCCTTTCCCCACGAGCCCCTGAGGCCCCGGGAGCAGGGACCACTCCCGGCTTTTCTCACTGCTGCAGCCCCAGCGCCAAGCACGTGAGAGCCTAATCAGCATTTGGTGAACCAACGTCCCCCTGGGGTTAGGGACTGACCCAAAGGCTGGGGGAGCCAGAGCTCCGGCCTCCCGTCGGAGGCGGCCATGGAGAGGACGCGACCTCCGGCGGACCTGCGAGCGTCTCTCCCCTCCCCAACCCTCCCCTGCCCGCCGTCCCCAAAGCGGGAGCGGGTTCCTGAGAGAACTGTGGTGAGAGACCACCCGGAGTGGGCACGGGCACGACTGACCCGGTCAAGGCCTCTACGGAAACTGTTAAGATTCTGGCGGGGAGCGCGGAGACCTTCTCCTCTCGAGACTCCCCAGACAAGACTCTTCAATAAGTTCCCTTATTAAACCTGCCACCTCCCCATCTGGGGTGGCCTGCCTCTCTCCCGTTTCTCTTCGCCCTCCGTGTGCCAGCCAGTTTGCAAAACAACACTTTGACCTAAATGCCCTTTTCCAAGGAGGGAAAGGGCGGCCAGGGCCGGAGCCCACGGACCCCGGGCCTGAGGAGGCACCCCCTCCAGGGGCATGAAGGGCGGTCAGGGTCCCTTTTGCCCATTCACACAGAGAGGTGGTGCCAACGGGGACAGGCCTAGGTTAGGGAGGCGGGGGCTGCCCCCGACAAAGAAACCCTCGGGAAAGTGCGGGAACAGCAGAATGTTTACCGGCATCTCAGCCTCAGGGGACGCTCCCCGGGGAGCGCTCGCGGCGCTGCAAAGCTTTCGTGTGGCGCCA